GCTATGCTCGGGATATCTTTCCTATTTCGAATCTTATGCCTGGAAGGTTTGGGATCATTATTTTCTGGGTTAGGAACAAAGTCACCATTCTCCTGGTCAGCACTCGGATCAGCCATGGGGAAGTCATTAAACTCTGAATCAGCTTGACTCCAGTCATCGGCCTTTTTTACCTCACCTGGGCCTTCTCAGAGTCTCTTTTCCTTCGGCATCTTCTCCTCTTCTGTCTCTCTGTGGCAGCCTCCTGTCTCTTGGACTCCGGAATATCTTGGCTAGAAATCATGAGAGCCCTATACTGCCAGTCTTCTCTCTCTCTGTGCTTTGACAAATGCCAGTTCGATCCTGGGAATCTTCAGTTCACGCTTGCAAATACAGGAGATGTGGGCCTCGGATTTACAGTCACGATCGCATCCAAACTCAGGACAGAGAACAATTGGGCACTTGCAAGTAATTATGTCGAATATGGGTCCAGTTGGCAGCAGCTGTCGCCAACTGCAGGATTTCCTCTCCCCAGAGAGATATCTCTTGCCTTTTTCCCCAACTATTTCTTGATCTCTCACTAATCTTCTTCTGACTTTGTTATGACTGGGAAGCGGGCAGGCGTTAGCCAGAGTGTACTGTGCCAAGACAGCTTTGGTCATATCACTGGCAATGTCTTTGTTTGTGTAAGTTCTTTGGTTCTTTTCACTGATTTGCCTGATTAAAACACCGTATCTCAAAGCATCTCTCAATGTAGGCAACTCCGACTTCAGGAGCTCTCTCCCAGACCCAAGATAGTGACTGAGATGGCTGGATTTTTGGTTCCTCGTCCTGACACAAGCAGCCATCGCAAATATTATCAACTTATAAATGCATCAGAATCTGAAACAGAAAAAAATATTGTTAGTTGGGTTGTTAAAGAATGAAGTCAGAAAGCAATGTTCACTATTTAATTGTAATGCACTAATGCAGCTGTACGTTAGATTTTCGATAAATTTCACGCTAAAATTTACCTAGCAAAAGGTTGCAAAATATTGAAACTGAAATTATTTTCTGTTTATATACACTAAAATCTACCAAAAAAGTGATGGGCCATTAGTTTTAGCTGATCTTCCCTCCTATGACACACCCTAATGTTACATGCATATGTGTGTAAACACTGAACTGGGAAGCTGACACCTGCGGTTGAACAGCTACTCAAGCCCTAGTCTGCAATGCCCTATGGAGAATATATTATGTACAGTGGCAAAATTGGAGGATTCTGACTTACAAGACAAAAAATATTACTGTATAACTGTCACATTTGTAGTTTAAAAATATCTGTCTATGACATCATCAATACTGATAACATTGTTAACTTGACATAATTGCAGTTTGAACATTATTATAAAACTATCATATATGTAGTTTGAAAATTATGAACATTATTATCCTTCCTGGAAAAAAAAGTCGTCATTTTCTACGTCTAAGGTTTGAAACATTATTTAGATACAAACCAAAATAATAACCTTGTCCATCCATTTACGGGAAATTGATAAAAATTATAATTAAAATAATGAAAGTATCAATAGATGAACAGGTGAAAAATAAATACTGGGAATTATATTATGCCAGTATGCATTAAAATAATTAAAACACTTATAATATAACTATAACTTAAACGATAACTAACGTCTGATGGTATGCTGTAGAATATCTTACTATTACATTGTTCCACAGGGTTCAGTTCTTTCACGTACTATCCTCCTATTTTTTTTTCCTTCCATTATCCATGAACAACTACGTTGGTATGGCCTTGTTACCCGCATGGGCGACAGTTAACTTTACATTAAAAGGATAGTCCTAAGACAAACCGGAAAAAGTGACAAATCGTCCCCCTCACCTGGGAGACAATTACTCCACACCGTAACGCTTGGAGGAGCACCACACCAGAAGGAGTCAATACTTTCGAGCTAGCCTGACTGCAAACCGAGTCAGACAAGCGACAACGCTGGAACGTCTGTGAATGACTCTGCCTGTCCAGTATCGGCCTCTCTAGTCACCTCAGAACTTGCCAACGAAGGTGACACCCTTAATAACTCGCATCATTTTATCATAGAGGGATGACAGCATACTCGATTCCGAGTGACAGCAAAGTAACAGTAATAGTAGTCCTATTTTGTTTTATCAATCATTTACTCCACACTACTACTAACCCTATCCAGTCATACGATGACGATTCTACTTTTCATTCTTCTTATTTTTCCCTTCCCCCTAACTCTCAATCTAGATCTGTTTCTAGAGCTGATATCGTTTCTTCTATCAAAACGAATCAGTGCAGCATCTCTGAGTGGAGGGGTAGAAATTTGGTAAAATTCAATAGAAAGAAAAACATTGAATTAACCAATTACATTTTTAAAATAGAAGATCTCCCTCCAGTCAATTTTCAGTATGCAACCATTTTGCCAAATTCTAAAATAGATATGTTAGGTCTCGCCATTTCCTCTAATATGTCACGGAAGCCACACATCTACATCATAGCTAAAATTGCCACCCGAAAGCTGGGGATGTACAGATGCTGTAGCTACGTCAGGTTTATAAAGGATTCGTCCGTCCTAACTTGGAATACTGCTTTCATATCTGGGGTGGTTCTTCTACTATCCAACTATTATATAGGGTGGAATCAAAGACTTTTCTTCTTATTAACTCTTCTTCTTTAGTCGATAATATCTCTTCCCTTTCTTTTCGCCGCAGTGTTGCTTCACTCTCTTTTACAGGTATTTTAATGGGAAAAGTTCGGTGGATTTGGCATTTTGTGTACCGCTGGCAAGGCAGTGGGCTCGTAACACTCATCTTGCCCGTGATGCCCACCATTTTTTGTGTGAATGTCGGTCACACTAGAATAACCTGTTATAGTAGTTCCTTCTTTCCTCTAACAGCCAAACTGTGGAATGCTCTGCCTTCTTCTGTGTTTCCATCCTCTTACAATCTGTCTCACTTCAAAAAACTGGGTTTCTGCATCTTCGTGGTATAAATTAACATACTCTTTTTCTCTTCTATTTCTTATTTTTTTTCGCCCCCCAGGCCCAGTTTTGGATCGATAACCTGGGCCCGTGTGAGCTTTTCCCCATAAAAAACAACAGCTATTGATAACAGTAAAAGTCACGAAATTGTGTTTTTCGAACTTTAAATCTGTCATTATTGTTGTATCTTGGTCCTGCTCATATCACGTCCACTAAACATAAACATATTTGGCTGTGTACGAAACTAGGTTATACGATTCAGTATTCCCGCGTCTATCACAGATTTACGGTCACATTTTTGTATATTCACTGTTATTATATGTTAGGAAAGTTAGCAGGGGGTTTTCAAAGGTTTTTCGGTGCTTTAGCACCAAGCAAACCTTTGGTGGAATGTACCGGACCCGTGTACCTGTGGCTAGCTGCGTTTATCAGGTTAATCACAGCATTCACAGATAATGGTATTATTGTAATTTGTTTTGTTTAGTTTTCCTTTCCTTTCGTTTGTTCTTCTTCAGCAATAATGGACGTCCATTCTGAACTGTACTTGTGTATGTGAGACAAAGTTCATATTTAAATATGCTTCAGTTATTAAAATTTTCGAGCAGAAAGTTTGTTTCAAAGACATTTTTTAATATTGTTTTTAACCTTATTAGTGAGTTGCAAAAGGCTAGCCCAGATGGGAAATAAATTTGATGAAAATTAGATGTTGTTACTAACAACATATTATACACGTAAAGAGCCTGTGCACATAACCTCTAATTTTTATGGTGCAAGTAAAACAGTTGAACGAACATCAATTTCATAGATAAAGCTGTGCTGCGAGAATCACTACTTGATTTTTTAGGCACACACAGTCCACCTTATTAACATAGACGACTCCATCACTAAACTCCACTATGCAGACGACCACACCCTCGTCGTTCACACTGATCGCTACCTACAGCAGATCCTGAACTCCTACACAGATATGTAAGCACACTTCGACCTCGAGGTGAACGCACACAAGACACATGCTCTCTTCCAGCCTGTCCCTGGTTCAGCCACAACTCCATAGTCCATCCAGGTTAACGGTACTGTACTATCCTCTCCAATGTTAACCATTTATAGTACCTCGGCTCCCACCTGTCCACCACCTCGGACTTTCGGTGAAGAAATCCATCATCATAATATCAAGAATGCGTCTCAGGCCTTTGGCAGACTACGTACCCGTGCCTTCAGCTGTAGGGAACTAAACTATCAACAAAGTTGTTCAACTACTGTATTGAGCAGTGGAACTCCCCATCCTTCTCTGTGGGTTACATACAAGCGAAATATTATGGCACTATATTATACAGGACCCACTACGCTGGTCCGGCCACGTTACTCGTATGGACTACAGTAGACCATCAAAACAGATACTTTACTGTCATCTCATGAATTCCAAACATTACACTGACGAGCAACGAAAGAGTTACTTAGATATACTCAAGACTAACCTAAAAATATACTCGCATCTGGGAGACCGTCACCCCTAACGGTGAGGCTTGGAGGAGTAACATACAGTACAAGTGAGTGTTAAAAAGACACCGTCACCAGAGTTATCCAACCATACATACAACATTAGCGGGACAAGTTGTCTATTACCTATTAACCTTAGAGCTCACCAATGATGATGAAACATTGAACAGATTATATATATTATCATCGCAGGAAGATCTTTATACTAGAGTCCGAGAGACAGGAGATAGAGAAAGGTACATCTCTTTATAATACTGAATAAGTTAGTCTTTATGTGAATTGAATTTGTTCCATTTATACGATTTTTATAAAGTTTAATTTCTCTCTGCGTGTGAGTATGCGTGCGTATGTATGTATGTATGTACTATACTGTACAAGTGACTTGTTTATCAAGGTCAGCAAAGCTAAGTTGCTTTTAGTTAATTTAATCTTTATCGGTAGTAGAATTGATCATTATCAGGAACAAAGGTTGAGCGGCAGTGGTACTTGCCAGGGACAGCGTGTCTATAAGTAGGTGGAGTACACAACATCAACCAGCACACTCCAGCAATCATTGAGCAACACATACAGTACGTGGTTGTTCCTTATTTGATGTTCACGATGTCAGCGTTGAGCTTCACTGGAAGACTGGCGCTGGTTACAGGTAAAAGTTAAATGTAAACGAGTATTCAAAAGAAAACATTACTCATTTATATCTCTATGAACCCAAGTTTTGATGTGTGTTTTATAACGTAAGGCATTGAACTATTACTTTTTCTTGAACCCTTACCATGAAATAGTTTAAAATTAAATACCATATTTTATGTAACACAATGATTTAAAGGTGGGTATTTTGTAGGACTAAGTGTCAGGTTATCCACAATTATTTATAGTATATATCTGTGTATAAACCGAGTCCTTAGAATAATAATGTTTAGTGAAAATTTCGGGTGTTGGTTCATACAATTATACTATTTTTTTATGAATTAAATTCCAGGAATGGTGGCGGTCAGTGACTCAGTGTTATCTTAAAACATATAAATATTTACCAACTAGTTTGAGTATGTATGAACCAACTACCAAATAATTAGTTTTTTTCTTCACTTTCATGGTGTGAATATGAGTGATGAATATACACACTTAGTTTCTTATCAATTTATTGGGATCTTAATTATGACACCAGGCTCGTTGATCATATATTCTCATAGAAGTACTTTATATTCACGATTTTTTTTTTAATATACTTAATGCATCGATGGGGCCTCATTATTATCCCCTCCGGTTAAATACACGCCCAGCAGGAGCTCTAGAGCAGCGCTTCTCAAACTATCTGATGTGGCGGACCGGCATGGTATTTTTTCAATGTGCCACGGACCGGCGAGCGAAGCGAGCCAATCCCGGGGCCTATAGCCCCCCCCCCCAGGAAAATCTTTTGAGATATGTCCTATTTCAGGGGCATTTTGAGACTATCTGTACTAAACATGAAGACATGATGTCTTATTCATTCTAAGGCCAATCATCATTGACGTAACAAGTCTTCCCAGTGTGCCAGGGACCAGTACCATATTTGTGCCATACAATTAATTGTTTACGATCAGAGAAAATATTATTTGAACATTCGTAGTAATATTATTTTATACAGGAAAAGTATAATGAATATAAAAGTGGGTTGGGATGGGGTCCCAAAAGACAAACACGCAGATGCCCGTATGATGCTCTCTGCTCCACTTCTTGATGGTAACTAACCACTGACCTGACATCACAGACTGCTGATCCACACGTGTGGAATAGCAGGGTTGCCAGCTGTGTGACACCCTTCACGGCTGGCACGCATAGTAAAAAATCGGCCATTTCTTTTAATGGGATGCATACATTTATTTTATCCGAAATTAAATAACTACCATACTTAAAATAAAAAGATTTATGTTTTGGGTGGATATGGCGTAACTGGTGGCCGAGAAACGTGGCAATTCTGGCAACACAAGGTGATGCGCCCTATTGATATCCCCAGGTGTGGTTCCCACAGAGTCAAACGCCACATCATCATGAAGGTGTTGTTATACGTATTTCAGTTCGCTGTTTTGCTGTTCATTATATCGCATTCGTTAGTTGCATAGCAATGACTTTTAACATGAGTGAGTAAATGAAAAATATAGCCATAATAAATATAAAAACTACAATGAAAATGTAAAAAAAAAGAAGACCGAGTCAGATGTCCCGGCAGTGTCACGTGGTGTGGAACGTGACTATCGTTTCTTTCTTTTCTGAAAACTCTCCGCGTACCGGCAGACGATGGCTCACGGACCGGCACCGGTCCGCGGACCACACTTTGAGTAGCACTGCTCTAGAGGCAGACGCAGTTACAACAGTCATTGCTCGTTTGAACAGATGGAGGCGAGGCAAGGCTGACAGTACGCTACTGTACGACATTTTTTCCGTTTTTCGTACCTGTCAGAAATATCGTACCGTAATTTCGTACCATGGCCTCATTTTTTTCCGAACTGTACAGTACGATAAAATATTCCGTACCTTTCCCGTACTTAAAAAAAAATGCACTTTCAAAATTGAGTCAACTAAATAACTATAGTTCCTTTGGCTTTTGTAGACAGATGAGCACTACCCAATTTGAGTATTCTATTTAAAGGGCTATTAATTCTAGAAGTGGTAGGAATGCCTTTTTACTTACGATGAAACTTCCTAACAGGAACTATAGAGCCAGTTGATCTGTTCCACACACACACACACAGAACTTTTCAATAAAAAGTTAATTATTATTATTATTATTATTATTATTATTATTATTATTATTATTATTATTATTATAATTATTATAATTATTATTATTATTATTATTATAATTATTATTATTATTATTATTATTATTATTATTATTATTATAATTATTATTATTATTATTATTATTATAATTATTATTATTATTATTATTATTATTATTATTATTATTATTATTATTATTATTATTATTATTATTACACTACTACTACTACTTTGCTGTCACTCGGAATCGAGTATGACGATCATCCAGCTATGGTAAAATGATATGAATTATTAGAGATGTCACCTAGGTTAGTGAGTTTTGAGGTGACTAAAGAGCCCGATACGGGACCGGCAGCGTCGTCCACATTCGTTGCACTTGTGGAGGGCTCCATCTATTGTGGAAGGGGCGGTGGCAGCGTCTTTCCGACGTTGGGCTAACTCGAAAGTATTGACACCTTCCCGTGTGGTGTTCCTCCAAGCGATACGATGTGGAGTAATCGACTTCCAGGTGAGGGGGTCGATTTGGCACCTTTTCAGGTTTGTCTAAAGACTATCCTTATACCTTTTCAATTGCCCACCAGCCTTACGTTTACTATTCATTAGGTGACTGTAAAGTAGCTGCTTCGGCAGTCTACTGTCGTACATGCGGGTAACATGACCAGCCCAACGTAGTTGTTCATGGATAATGGTAGCCTCGATGCTCCTACAGTTGGTGTCAGCAAGAATATTGGCATTTGTTCTCTTGTCTTCCCAGCGAACTGAGAGGATGGAACGTAAACTATGTTGGTGAAAGTTTTCAAGTGCCTTGAAGTGCCTCTTGTACAGTATGTGACCCATGTCTCACTGCCAAACAGTAGGGTGGGCAGGACCATTGCTCGATATAAGGGCAACTTTGCGGATAATTTCAGCTGCCTACAACTGATTTCGGAGTCCGCCCAAGGCGTGAGATGCACATCTGATCCGAGGTTGAATTTCTTCATCTATGTCTGCGGTAGTGGACAGGTGGGAGCCAAGATACCGAAAGTGGGCAACATTAGAGACTGTAGCACCGTTAAGCTGGATGGATGGTGGAGGTGTGTCTGAACCAGGGGCAGGTTGAAAGAGAATCTGAGTCTTCCGTACATTCACCTCAAGGCCGAAGTGTGCATACGTGTCTGCATAGGTGTTCAGGATCTCCTGTAGGTCGTGTTCAGTGTGAGCAACAAGGGTAAGGTCTTTTGCATACTGTTGTTCAGTAATGGAAGCTGACGAAACCTTTGTTCTTGCCTGGAGTCGTCTTATGTTGAAAAGACCCGCCTTTACCCGGTACTCGATGTTCACCCTGCTGGCTAAATTGGCACTGGCACGAGTAAGGAAGGCAGCCATAAAAATGGAAAAGAGAGTTAGTGCCAGTACACACCCTGGTTTAACCCTTGTTTGGATGAGGAAGAACTCTGACTCGGTGCCGTTCATGCCATCGTGGAATTGCCTCACAATGGCGATGAATTTTGGTGGGCGGCCAAAACGGCTGAGGGTCCACCAGAGGACTTCCCTGTTGACCGAGTCGAAGGCCTTGGTTAGGTCGATGAAAGCCATGTACAGGTTACGACGCTGTTCTCAGCACCTTTCCTGTATCTGGCGGGCAGCAAAGATCATATCAGTGGTGCCACGTGATGGTCTAAAACCACATTGAGATTCTGGGAGGAAGTTTTCCGCCTCAGGAAGAAGTCTGTTTAGGAGGACTCGGGCTATAATCTTGCCAGCTAGGGAGAGCAGCGAGATCACACGGTAGTTGCCACAATCTGACCGGTCCCCCATGTTCTTATAAATGTTGACAATGGAGGCATCTTTAACAGCTTGGGGGATTTCCTCCTTTTCCCATATAGTCTCCAGGAGAGAGTGGCGACGGCTTGTCAGTAGAGGTCCTCCAGCTTTGTATGCCTCGGCTGGGATTCCATCAGGCCCTGAGGCTTTGTTATTTTTCATCTGTTTGATGGCAGTTGCTACCTCATCCAAGGATGGAGGATGGACGAGGAGGGTCAGCTCTGGATGCTGAGGGACCTGTTGGGTAGTCAGGACATCCACATCGGCGTTTTGGTTGAGCAATGAATGGTAGTGCTCTTTCCAGCACTGAAGGAGGACTTCGCCATCTTTAATTATGTGGTGGTTTCCTACAGATGAGTGAAGGGGGGCTATGCCACGAGTGACTGGCCCATAAAATGTTTTAGTGGAAATGAAAAATTCGCGCATCTTGTGCTGATCTGCAAGTTTTTGTGCTTCACATGCTTTATTTTTAAGCCAGTCGTTCTTTAGAATGCGAACTTCCCGCTGGGCTGCCGCTTTCTTTTTGCTGAAGGTATCAGCTTTGGTCCGAGACTGAGAGTTGTTCTGCAAGTCAGTAAAAGCAGCACGTTTATCATTGATGTGTACTTTGATTGCATTGTCATTTTCATCAAACCAGTCCTGGTGTATTCTTTTGAACTGGCCGAGGGTCTCTCTGCAGGTCTTTGTCATAACAGTATTAAGAGTATTCCATTCGGCATTGGGATTCATGTTGTTTGCTGTTGGGTTGTTTATAAGCCTATGTTCGAGCTGCTCTCTCTGAAAGCATGTACTACCCTGGATACTCCAGACGCTTAGTATTAAAATCTCTTCTGGAGGATTGCTGCCTTCGCCGTTTTGGGGCAACGTGAAGTGAGAGCTTGGATCTGACAAGTCGATGATCCGTGTTACAGTACAATGGTCTGAGCCACGCATGGCACGGGTGATGAGAATATCTCGGCGATCTCTTTCTCTGACAGTGATGTAGTCAATGAGATGCCAGTGTTTGGATCGTGGGTGTTGCCACGATCCCTTGAACTTGGCGGTCTGCCTAAACATGGTGTTGGTGAGAGTGAGGCTGCGAGC